TAATCAAAATATGAAAACATTTGTTCATTTCATATACTTGCAGTTTTATCAACAAGTTATCTTGTGAACAGGTACAACCAAACGTACTAAAGACATGTAATAGAGATCTACTATCAACTGCTGTCAATAAAGGCTTAATTCAAGATAAATCATAAATGAACCAATCATGTTGGACAGTCTCGAATATTGCATATTTTCAGCGCCCTCTATCAATCACCTATATAATAATCTTTGTCGAGCCTTAGCACAGCAAACAATTCACAATTTCTTCGGTTTCCACTTCCTTTGTAAACATCACTAAACAAGTGTTATTCTGTTGCAACAACAGCTACTTTAATTTCCCAAACAGCTCTAATTGTTTTATACGAAAGCATTTTCAATGAAACCCACGTTTTTATTATTATATTTTTACAACTCAGTCATTTGAAACTTTTACAGGCACATGTATGTTTACCTGAAGTATATTCTACTATCTTGCATGTACATTGCATTAATTTATGCAAATAATCAACTACTCTTCTTCCATTCATTTTTTTTTTAATATTAGCTTTGCTTTGCTTTACATACACATCACATGCTCTGCCACTGTAAGGATAATTATGATCCTCATCAGTAATATTACATCATATCCCTACAGAACATTGTTATGAAACATTCCTATTTGACTTGTAGCCATTTTCTTTCAAGGTGGCAAAATAGATGTATATTGCCGAAATTAGTTAAGAATCTCTTGTTGACTACAACCAGGGGTTTCATTAAAATTTGGAGCAGAAGGGCATCTGGATTTCACAGGCGGGCATCTGGATTTCACAGGCAGGTATCTGTCTGCAAGGCCCAAAGGGCCTTGCCTTCTTGGGGGGTCGGGGGGCATGCTCTCCCTGAAATTTTTGAAATTCTACAGTTGCAGAGATGAATTTTCCACCATTTTGAAGCACAAACTAACATCCCAAAGCTACCAGCTCTTTTTAAATTATGATTTGATGCATCAGTCAACAGACAAATTAGTAGATTTGCTTTTGCAACATTTGGTTGCATGGTAAGGTCACTAGAAGCTGTTTTGGTAACATCATGTATTTCATTATTTGCCAAGTTCTCGGAAGGCATTGTTTCTGTGCAGCTATCATTGGCTGGGATCTCAGATGACACGGTTTCTTTGCAAATATAGAGTGGAATATAAGTGTAAACGATTGTTAAGTTCGTTTCAGAGGGTATATGATTTCAATAAAAGTATAAAAAATGAAAAGGTGTTGGCGTTACATTTCTTCTATTTTCTAATCTTACTAAGATGGATCTGCTAACAAACACACGGGGTTAAAAAGTTCTTTTCTTTACAGTTGCCGTGAATGAAAGATTTCTGTTACCACACGAGTAGAGTTTTTGCATTCCACCAGGCACAGACGAAGGAAAGTTGGTAGCTTCTACAACAAATTGACTTTCAGTTCCCATCGCTCGCAGAAGATTCAAATTTCAAAAGTAAATCAGAAAAGAATGGAGCTTTTGGGACAATTTTCAATCACTATAGGAGCAGCATGTCTTTCTGAATATAACTCAAACTTTAATTTAGTGCGAACCAGTTGTACCATTTGCGTAATGATACGTCTTGAAACTCCAGCCGGCGGGGAAGAAATTGGTCACGTGCTAGGCAACCAGTTGAAAGTGCTAGCCGACTAAGATAACAGTCTTAGAGAAAATAAACTTCGTGTATTTTATAAAAAATGGAAGAACTAATTTATTCCAAGTACTGCTATTTTTTTATGTTTTGGCTTTACTGAAGACATTTACCGCAACAAACCGTGAACCGGAGATTTCTGAATCCAATGTGCTAATTTAATTTACAGCATTGAAGACCTCAATATCTCATTTGTGAAGGGCAAAGATATGCCTAGTCTCCCTCACAGCTGTTTTTAGTCTCGTCACACAACTCTCCTCCCCACTCGTCAGGCAGATTTAAATCTGCCTGATGAGTGCTTAACGCATGAAACTCAGAGTTGTGGCGAACCATGTGTGTTTCTTTCTAGTCACTTAATGTTATATAAGTTTAAATATATATTTTTTAGAAGATGCATTAGGAAAACATAGGAAAGTAACTTTTATATTTTTCTTATGGTTGAGATGTTAAAAGCAGCCTGGCAATGTTGTCTTCACAGGTGGTCAATTTGCCCAGTAACTGACCCTTAATGAAACCCCTGTACAACTAGTATATAGTGCTCCCCTCCCCAGTAATAAGTTGGGAAAAGGACATTTGTATGGTGCTATCATTGTTTATGTTTGGGAATATCCCATCCCTGATTTTTATTTGACTGGATGAGCACAGCAGTACACAGGCTAATTAGAAGCTTTTGGTTACTCCTCATGACTTAGTGTTAACTGGGAATTGACAGCTGACTTAATCTAATCAATTTTCTCCTGAACATTTTTAACAAACAACTTTTTTATTATTTTTTTTTGTTTTATTTAATGATTCACCCGAAGGTGGGTGTAAATACAATAGGACTGTAAGTCCCCTCCAAGATATTTACACCCTTAATCCCAACCCCTAAATTAGATTTAAAATCCCAACCCAACGCATTAAGAAAAAGAACAAACATATAGTACATATTTCACAACTGACTGCGGAATTAACAAGAACAAAGTGTAAAAGCGTTAACTTTATGACATTTAGGACAAATCAACTTAAAGGTACGAACATTATCTCCATCAAATATTTGATTTAACCTAAGAAAATAGAAAGATTTGAGTTTAGTTTTTAAAACAAGACAACGAAGTTTCAGATTTGATATGATCGGGAACAGCATTCCAAATATTAGAAAGTCTTACAAAAAATGAATCCCTATAAAGTGAAGTTCAAAAGTAAGGTGTTGCTAGGTAAATTTCCAATGCACCACAACGTGATTTGCTATTACAAAATTTAACATAGTTTTCTATGTTAAGTCTAACGATCCCTAGTTTACATTTAAGGAAGAAAAGCAGATCTAAATATTCAAGCCAATAATTAATGGGCAGTAAATCAAGATGAATTAGATAGTGTTGATAGCTCATGTTCTTGTTTTTGCAAATGAATTTAGTTGCTTGTCTTTGAGTCCTTTCAATTAATAGAAGGTTCTTAATTACAGACTGTGGGGCCCAAACCTGTGAAGCGAAACTAAAATGCGATCTTATCAAAGAAGAGTATAATTAAGTTAAAGGTTTTTCATTTTGAATTGTATGACAATGTCTCTTGATAAATCCCAAAAGTTTGTTAGCTTTAGAGACAGTCTGAATTATATGTTGGTTCCATGTGAGGTGCTTAGTGACTGTAAGCCCAAGGTCCCATTCTTTGGTGACAAGCTTTAGCTCGGTATTGTTTAGGTTATATATATGTTGTAAGCTAGTTTCCTTGCGGCTTATTCTCAGATTGTGACATTTTATAGGCTGGAAGTACAGTTCGTTTAAGGATGATCAGTTGCAGAGGAGGTTTAAATCATCTTGGAGGTCACAGATATCAGATGCAGCTTTGATGGTTTTGAAACATTTCGAGTCATCAGCATACATAGCTAGAGATGAGGACTTTAGAACATTCGGCATGTCATTTACAAACATCAAAAACAGTACGGGGCCTAAAATTGAGCCCTGTGGAACTCCAGACTTAACTATACTCCAGGTTGAAAAACTGCCATTTACGACTGTTTTTATAACACGCTGTTGTCAGCCAGTGAGATAACTCAAAAACCAGTCCAGCAGTAAAGCGTCAATTCCAAACTTGCGAAGCTGTGACAAAAGTTTCACATGACACATAGTCAAAGGCTTTAGAAAAATCTAGAGAAATGACATCAGTTTCCAGGCCACTATCAAGAGTCTGACCAAGTTCGTGGAGGACTTGCAACAGTTGAGTTGTACATGACAGACCTTTAAGGAAGCCATGCTGCATGTCATACAAACAGGGAGAAATATGGGCCAAAAGATGATTTAGAACACATCTCTCTTGGACTTTTGCCAATATTGGCATTAAAGAGATTGGTCGATAATTTTCTACTTCAGATTTCTTTTCTTTCTTATGTACAGGACAAACATTTGCGGTTTTCCATGATGATAAACAATAACCATTGAAGAAAGAAGAGTTTATAAAAGCAGTTATTGAAGGAGCTAGAGTACTTGCGCATTTTTTGAGAGCAATTGTAGGCATATAGTCAGGACCAGGAGCTTTAGATATATCAAGTGAAGATAGCAACTTAATAATTTCTTCAGTGGTCACCACAATTGTGCTTAAGCGATTGTTGATCAGAGGGTTCAAAGTTAATGCATTTGATATTTCACAAGAGGAGTGATCTGTATAAATTGAATTGAAGAAATGTTGAAAAAATTCAGCTTTTTGTGCGTCATCGGTGGTACTGTTCCCTTGATAAGACATTTCATCGGGTAATCGTTTGACTTCATTGGGTAATCGTTTGACTTCATTGGGTAATCGTTTGACTTCAGAAATACTTCTGATAATTTCCCTCTGACATTTCTAATTTGGAAGATTAATCATCATAATCATTATGTTCTTTCCACCTCCATAAACACCCAACAAGAGTTCTTTGTTTATAATTCAGGCAGCTTCTGAATATAAGAAATCAAGTGTAGAAGATATTTTATTCATTCAAGGCTGTTGCAATATGAGAAAAGACAATACAGTGCTTTATTCACATAAATCGATTAAATTATATTATTATAATTATTTTACTTTACAGTTCTTTGTTTTTTAAACATTTGTTTTTTTAAAAATTTGTTTTCCAGTTGTACCAAGATGGTCATGTTACTTTCTGAATCAGGGAGCTATATAAACCAGAAGTATTCTGTTAGCTTACTACATTTTATGTTGCAGATGGCAGTAAGTTAGTAAAGAAAGAAAAGAAAAAGCAAAAAGAAAGAAATGAAATAAAGTGATTAGTGAGAGAAGAGCAGCATAAAAAAAGACACTACAAATTATTCATAATTGTGATGGGAAACAAATACTTGTTGGGAAAGTAAAATTATTGCTCAGAAAAAAAATTACAGCTTAGAAAAAAAAATTACAAACTAAGGTGGCAAGTGAAAACTTAATTTATTACCATTACAATGGACATTTTGTACTAAAACATACCTCGGTTTATTCTTCCTCTAGTTGAGCCAATTTTTGTATTTTGGGGGGCTTCAGTCCTATACATGTTACAGTCAGGTTTTTGGCCAACTATGATACATACAATAACGAGTGGGGATAGGGTGTCCGTGCTACATGGGCATGTTTTGTCTTCTCAGCAAATCTGACTGGAATGCCATGGACATGCTGATTTATACGGTTCAAGTGACTGCTTTACAAACCTGGTAGTGCAGTGTCCTTGGATCACCACTTCAGCCATTCAAAAACTGTCTCATTTCTAGCCTTAGTGCTTATGCTCTTCTATAAACAAAACTTAGTTACCACGGAGCCGCCAGTGAAAAACAACAATTTCATATCGTGTGCAACTTCAGTTCGGCTTTGCCAAATTATATAATTGAGCTTGAGAACTATCCAAAAGGTGAACAGAGTTTCAAAGCTAAGTTTACAGTATTCTTTCTAAGTTTTGCCTTTTTACGCTATTGATTTGACTCATGGGGAAAACAAATTGTAAAAGTTAACGGCATTTTATGGTTTTCTTGAGGTGTCCGCTGACCAATAAAATACTGCATCATGCCTTAAAAAACGTATTTCCGTGGTGTCCGAGAAACACGGGGTGAGAATAAACACACTGATCAGTTACAGGGTGTAATCAGGACATAACTCTTGTCTGAAATTATTTTTGTATGTTATGATATATTTTTCTTGCTACATCATTCTTAAAGATGTAATTTCAGCATCTTGAAAAGTTTTGTCACTTTTGCACACATTCTGCACAATATAAAATATTTAAAGGGAAAAGCTATGGTATAGAATTACATTGGTTTAATTTTTATTTTTTATCAGACACTTCCAAGTTTCTCCATAGTTCTCATATTTTTCTTGACTTTGTTAACCAGCTTTTCTTGTTTATCATTGACTGTTGGAGTTCATGTGCTTTATGTTTTTAAGCTGAGATGATTCCTCTTATTTATGAGATGGCCTTGAAACAGGACCCAAAGAATGAAGAATTGCACTCTCATCTCTTTATGGCATATGTCAGAATTGGAGATTACAAAAAGCAAAAACAGGTGAATCTCATTCACTCATACTTTTAAACTCACTGTTGCCTGGATGATCCCATTTGCTTCTTGGGTTTCCCGTAAACCTTGTACAAAGATGTTTGTGCTATTTTCTGATGTTGGTGTTTCAAGCAATTCAGTTACAAGTGTTCCATGGCTGCTGAATAAAAGCAGCAAGAATGCAGGGTTACCTTGTACCTGAAGTGAATTTACATATAGATTCAAGTGAAATAATGTCCAAAGAAGTCTCCCTAATTCAGGCTCCTTCCCAACCAGTGTTTGCAAATATTTTTCCATTTATCATTATGTCAAGTAGTGTTTGTTTGTAATTTTTTTGATATGGAAACAGGAGATTAATGTGGTATAGGGGAATCCTGTTTACAATATTTGTCTCATTAGCATAAGCAATTCAGCTTCTGACGGAGCTAAAAATAAATCAGTTCTGAATATCGAAAGGTCAAAGTACGATTAACTCGGCCAATGAATACGAGCCTGATGCATTGAACAGTTTTTGTGCAACACGGGTTTAAAAACTCAAAATTTTACATAGAATGTGTGAGCTCATTAGCGCTTTTGCCACCCAGAAATTTTGCAGTTTTTGATGGACTATTTCTCCTTGAATATTACACCCAAAGAGCTAAAAATTTCACCATGTGCTAAGGTTTTCTAGCTCTTTAGCTGCGTGAAGTCAATTTGTATCTAACATGTTTCCTTCTCTACGCAAAGCTGTATGCAAATGAGCAAAAATGTTAACAATGGCGTCAGCATGAATCCGCCTGTAAGAGATAGGAGTTCTTGAGCCACTACATAGTCCAAGATATTTTTATTCAGTGGTGGATAATATTTTCCTGTTAGTTAACACCATTCTCCTGCAACTTCATGTCTCAATGAAAGTCTTGGAAAGGGGACCCTTGTTTCCAAATTGCTTGTGGTATTGCCTCCTGTACTCAAGTTACAATTTATATGTCGCTTACCTGTTTTGAAAAAGTTGTCAAAAAAACCCTTTTGGGTTTTTACAAACCCTTAAGTTCAAATTTATGTCACAGATCATTTTGCAGATAAATTTTGAATTTTTTGCTGTTTTTGCAGGTTGCTATGAATCTCTATAAACTGTTTTCCAAGAACCCTTACTACTTCTGGGCTGTTATGAGCACTGTGATGCAGGTATATTTATATCCCTTCTTTTAAAAATTTTTTCCTGTGTTCATGTTATGCATGGTATTTGTGTCCATGATCATACATGCTCACTTAAAGGAGAAATTAGGGACTTTAAGATACCTGGACGGCTGACCTCGAGGACGGTATTAGGGACTTTAAGATACCTGGACGTTGTTTCAGAGGACGGCTGACGGGAAGTAATTTTACACGTGTAGACTGTATTGCGCATGTCTGCACAACACGTGTTGCCATCCAGTTGTTGTCGAGGACTTCAGAATTGGAGTTTTGCCGTCCACAAGTGAACGTAAGCACATTTGACGAGCATTTCTTTTAAAATTCATTATTTTTCAATTGAAAAGGCTGTTTTTACTGTTATTTCTTGTTTTGATAAACAAATGTTAAAAAATTGAGGTGTAAAATACCATCGCGAATGAGTGTTTGTTTGCTGTGCTTCGCAGTGATGGCGAATATGTCAACTAAGCTTGAATGAAATTGAATTTTGTGGCATCTGTTTCCAGAATTATTTTGCTCACTCCATGTATCACATAAATTACTACTATTCACCATAAATGTTCAGCCATAAGTTAAATTCCTTGTACTCGTAGTATGGCAGCTCTAAATTAACTGGCTTACCGTATTTACTCGCCTATAAGCCGATCTCGGCTATAAGCCGAGACCCTAAACTTCTTCATGTCAGCAGCTGTTGCATTGAAATAAAAAATAAACACAAAACATTCAGCTATAAGCCGAGACCTAATAATTGCAAAGTACTCCACGCGTGTCGTTAACTGAGATGAATTAACATAAACCGAAAACAAAAGGAGCTTCCCTCTCGGGAAACATGCAACCAAAAAGTAGGTTATTTACTCAGTTGTTATTGGTCGTTTAATTGAAAGTAACAACAAATCACAGATAAGTTGAATTTAATGTGTAAATAAATAGAACCATGCGTGACATAACAAAACATTCACCTGAGTTCAGAATCCTGTCTCAAACAATCGCTCTTTCAAAGTTATCGTTT